AAAATATTTTTTAGTTTTTAAACAAAATATATACACCTAGTTCATCAGAGGAGATGCTGGCCCCAGAGACCTCCTCTATACTCACCCCTTCCTTATGCCTTATACAAAAATTAACTCAAGACCTTCACACTTCCTAGATATGTGGCCTTACACAAATGACTTAACCCTTCCAAGCCTTCATTTCACTTGTTTATAAGATGGAGATGATGATAGCAATGCCTATCACCCTGTATCTTTGTGAGGATTAAATGAGACGCAAGTAAAGCGCTATGCATTGCTGCCAACCCATATTAGATGCACAATAAACATAGCTATCATTACTATTAAAGGAGAAAAATTAGGCCGGTGCAGTGGCTCATGCCTGTAATCCCAGCACTTAGGGAGGCTGAGGCAGGTGGATCACGAGGTCAGTAGTTCAAGACAACCCTGGCCAACATGGTGAAACCCCGTCTCTACTAAAAATACAAAAATTAGCTGGGTGTGGTGACATATGCCAGTAATCCCAGCTACTTGGGAGGCTAAGGCAAGAGAATTGCCTTAACTGGGACCTGGGAGGCAGAGTTTGCAGCAAGCTGAGATCGCACCACTGCACTCCAGCCTGGGCTACAGAGCAAGGCTCCATTCCAAAAAATACATAAATAAATAAGATTAAAATAGGCAACATTTCAATTAACTTTAGCAAAAATGAATTTAATATGACTATTTCCTCAGGTCAGACAAACATGAGATAGGCTACCCCTCACTGAATCATACTTTCCAACCCTGGTAACTGAGTCAACTTGATTCCCTTTAGGTTCAATTCCAGGCTCTGGTACTAATTTTGTCCCCAGTTAAGACAAATAGGTTGACCTCTCTGTCAACAGGGAGACTTATGGAGTCCGTCATGATTAATTCTGTTTCTACCAGGGGATGAGCCCCATGACTTACATGTTGAGTTTTTCACTGTAAAGCCTCAACCTTCCCAACCTTCCCAGTCACTGAAAGCAGAGTTCTATGCCCCAGCCACCATGGCTAGCTTTCCTGCCTCTCAACACGTGTCCCCAGTTCCCTGACTACTTTTTCCTGGCTTTCCCAGTGCTCAGTACCAGTTTGATTGGAACTGAGCCACTTCAAAGCTGTGGGAGTCTCATCTCAACAGTTTTCAGATCTTGGATCCCTATTAGACCCTGGATTAAAATGTTCAGGAATCCTACATGTTCTTCCCCTGGACAATTCCTTGAGAGGGATCTTCTAAGCTCACATCACTACATGCCAGTTCTGAATATGCTACATTTGGCTCCTATCTTTGGCTGACCTAACCTCCAGACAGTAAAGCATGGCATGTAGGAGCCCAAGGTCTGCAGTCACACAAGGAGCACTTGAGTACCAGTTCTGCCACCAGCTAGCTGTATGATCTTGATCAATTACTTATGCTTTCTGAGCCAAACTATAAAATCACAATAAAAACTCATACCTCTCGGAGTTGTTGTGAAGATTGAAAGAGGTAAATTCAATTTAGTTCCATAATTGGCACATAGAAGCTTTCAATAGGTCAGTGTTATTCTTGATGGAAGGGATCTTCCACCATAGCATGTCCCACCTCTGCCACAACTTCATGTCTAGCCATTCTCTACCTATTTAAACTAGACCTTTAACAAAACTACTTAGAAATTGCTCAAAAGCCTAGATAGCTGCTCATGACAGTACTGATACAAGAGGTAAAAAGAAATTATTTAGATAGGGAGGGTAAGAGATTTCACAGTAAGGTTTCCTTTTAATAAAAAGCAGCCCTAACATCATTTCTTTTCCAACAAAAAGCAGCCTGAAAAATCAAGCTGCAAGCATAGATAAGCAAGCTAAAAGCGTGAACAGGTAAATACTGGCAGCCATGCCAATAGGAAAAGGCTACCTGGGGGCCAGGCATGTTCAGCATGGCAGCTCTATCTTCCCTTTTCTTTGACAACCACATGTACAGTAAGGAACAGACAACACGGCGCCGGCCAGGTAGAGAACCCACCTCCGTAATAAAAGACTAGGGTAGAGTAGCCAGCTTCTTCACAGGCTATGTAAATGGCACACCTGGTCCAATCATCTTTCGGCCCTGTGTTAATCAGACACCGCCTCCATCTATAAAACTGTGCTCATCTATAAAACTGTGTATTTCACAACAAAACCAGAAGACCCACTCAGGTGCCCCTGTCTCTACAGAGAAAGAGCTGTTATTCTCTTTTCTCTTTCTTTCGCCTATTAAACCCCTACACCTAACCTCACTCAATGTGTGTCCGTGTCTTTGATTTCTTTGGTATGAGGCAACAAGCCTCAGGTATTAACCCAGACAAATGAAGTTGTTTCAATATTTTTAGGTCTTTCAAATCAAAGTTAACCAAAATCAATTTTGACATACACTGTTGTTTAATATTTATTTAGAACTTCATTCCCTCAACAAATATATAATGAGCGTCTATTACCATATTCCAAGAATGGGGCCATGTCAGTATCAGACAGACATGGTACCTGCCCTCATGGAGGTTACACTCCCCTATTTCCCCAAACAGAATTAAAGAGACCCTTTTTTGTGGAAAATTTCTTACGAATCCAGATTTGTATCTAGCACAGTAATAGCTGGTAAAATGATTCTTTTGCTAGTAATTCCCTATACTTTCCAATCTTTTAAATGTATTTTTGTTCTCATTTTAAAAATTTATTAACATTGAAAAATGTGGCCAGGCGCAGTGGCTCACGCCTGTAATTCCAGCACTTTAGGAGCTGAGTGGGGCAGGTCAGTAGTTCAAGACCAGCCTGGCCAACATGATAAAACACCATCTCTACTAAAAAATACAAAAATTAGCCGGGTGTGGTGGTGTATGCCTGTAATCCCAGCTAATTGGGAAGCTGAGGCAGGAGAATCACTTCAACCCAGGAAGTGGAGGTTGCAACAAGCAGAGATGTCAACACTGCACTCCAGCCTGGGCGACATAGCGAGACTCTGTCTCAAGAAAAAAAACTTTTGAAAAATGCTTGCTGACTGACTGCATGAAGGTATCCTTATGATGAAGGGAGATCTGGCCATTTCACTGCACTACCCTTGTGTTTCTCCTGGTAAACCTGAGCGAATGGCCACCACTGGTTCCTGATCTGTGGCCCAACATCTACTGTCCTCCCTCGAGGTCCTTTGCCCTTTTTTCTCTTCCGGAACCTTCCAGTATTCCAAAATTGAATACTGTATTTTTTAAATCTGAAAATTTAGAACACATACCAGTTACTTATCTGGATTTTTTTAAACAAGAAAGAGCTCCCAATTGCTGCAGTCAGTCTTTTAGAAAAGCAAAGAAATTTCTCTCTTGGGGAGTTGCTACATATGACGCTACTCTGTTTTAAAGGGTCTTAGGTAAGTCTTCAATTTTGTAAAGTTTCGAGATTAATAATACCTTAGGGGGGAAAATGCTGAAAGGTAGGCAGGTCTCGTCACAGTAAAAGAAAAGATTCTTTCCTGCTTTGCTGTGATTAGCAGCATAAATTGTGGTGCGAGTGTTCCAGTGCTAAATGAATTAGTATGCATCCCACCCAGAGTACTGTATTTGTTGAAGTAAAATGCTTACAATCTTTGCTTGGGGGAGGAAAAAAGGGGTATGTCATTGAGTGAATATGAATTAATCAGTACTTTATGGACAGAACCCATAATTTTAAAGCAGGGGAAAAAAGCCGAGGCATTTATCAGGATCCCACTCAGCAATCTCCCTCTGTCATTGCTAATAAATCTTTTATGAAATGGAGTTTTGCAATCTTTGCAGGAACATTACTTTTGTTCCCCCAATTTTCCTTTGCAGGAAAAAATAAGTTAGCCTCCATCTCTAATATTTTCCCCTCCCTCCCTTATTTCAGTGTCCTGTACTCAGAAAAATCTCTGAAGCTCTTTATTTTTAAAGTTTCCCTCCTACCTCCACCAATTTATAATGTTAAGACCCCTTTCTTCAGAAGAAATAATTCATATAGGTCTTCTCCCAGGAGATTTAGGGAAAGAAGCTGAGTTTCAGGTGAGGAATGCAATATTTTTAATAAGTATTAATATCCCAGGCCTGCTAAACAATCAATATTTATAGATGGAGTGATAAAGTCCATAGGGAAATAGGGTTTGGAGATGAGTAAAGGGATAATTAAAGGATACAACATTCCAACTCAAATGTTTTATAATTTTCCTGTCGCTACTCACAGAAGCAAGATTCTGCCGAATTATAACCAGCCTGCCAATAACCTCATGATGCCCTGATTTAATTAGGATTTGATGCTCCCACCTGAAGGTTAGGTTCATTAGCTATAAAATAAGCCACTGGATGTCTGGATTAAGAATTAAAGGAAACCCTAAGTGTAGAGTGGCACGTCGCCAGTTTCTAGCTGCTTCAACCGTGCAAATGGACGTGTGATCATTCTCCCCGAGGTTGGTAACATTTTATTTTTAGCCACAAATCCACAGGCCATTTCTCTTGGTTAGGGCTGGGACCTGATGGCCAGTCGAAAGCTTAAAAAGGTACACGACTGAGGAACAAGTTGTTAAGAGGCTATTATGAAGGATTGACGGGAGGGGGTTGGAGGCACATAATGATTTTGCCATTAAGCTTTGGTTCCATTTTACAGCTTGGATTTATTTATAACAACAGGTGGTGGTATTTGTGGGGAATTGCTTGTTTTTTCATTTGAGAAGGGCAGCTCCATACATCTGCTGGGAGGTGAAACAAAACCTTTTCCAAACACCCGTTTCCTCGCTTTGTGCATCACCATTAGGAAGGAAGAATTTGTAGCAAAAGGCCACCCTGCCATTATTTCTTCCTGATGACACTCATTTAGCAGCCATTAAAATGCAAATAGAACTATGATTTTTAGATCACAAAATTAACATTAACGGTTGGATGATTGATTAAAGGTCACGGCAACGGTATAACTTAATTTCTTAGATAATTGTGTTCGGTTTTCTGCAGACTGTTTGGGTTTCCGAATTAATTTTATCTGTTGTTGAACACTGACAGGTGCAGTAATTGGCACCGTCTCCTTTGGGCTCATTTCTTCCCGTGCACCTCACCCTCTTCTCTTCCCCAAAGCCATCGACTACCACAGAGAAGAGAAGTCCAAACTGGCCAGCTGCATCAGCAGACTTCTGCATCCGGGTGAGGTCACTGGAGGGGTTATTACAGAGCTGCAAAGCCCCAGATAGAATTTCATTCTGTGGCTAACGAGTTTTCCCTCTAAGAACTGCCTGCGTCAGGCTCACTGTGGTAAAAACTGACCCCCGCCCCTCCCCTGGGCCTGAGGCTAGCCTCCTCAGATCCCTGGCTGAAGGATCCCATCTCGCACCAATTTTTCTTTAATGGAGGCCATAAGCCATGGGACAGAGGTAATAATAACGCCCCCCCCAGCTTTCCATGTCACCTTTCTATGTGAGAGTTCAGGCAGTGACCCAGGAAGCTGAGATGGGAAGTGGACGGAGATTGGATCTATGTGCAGTGCTTCTCAAATGTCAAAAAATAAAATACAGATGGTGCTTACTTGGCAGGCTAAATACCTTCCTCAAACCTGACAAACACGGAACCCTGTATTGTAAAGCCAGGAATTCACAGAAGCAGCACCATAGTGCTGAGAGAATTAAGTTAAACTTTATTATAATTATTACTATTACTATTAACTCTCAAAATGATTTTTCCTAGAAGTTTCAAAAGACTTCATTTTATCAAGATGGATTCTATTTTGCAAACTTCTGTCCATCAGCTAGATTCTAACTCAAATCATATCCTCTCCTTATAGTCTTAGACTAATGCTGTACAGCCAATTCCTAATTGACTGGTCCTGCCCTCTGAGAGCTTACAGTCTAGTAGGAGAGACTTGCACATGAAGCAATTAAAGAAAAATGCAAAGTAGAATGCTAAGCCATGGCTAGATGTAAGATCTTTGAGGTCACAACCATGTCTCATCAGGCTTTAATTCAAACAAGTACTCATTCAACAAACATATGTTGAACACCTTCTCTGTGCCAGGCTCTGTCCCAGACTCTAGGATAGTCTAGAACACAGTCCCTTCAGAACAAAACTTATGGCCTCTGATGGGTACAAGGAAGGGGTAATAAGCAATAGACAATATTTAAAAGTGGGCTGATGCCAAGTGCAATGGCTCATGCCTGTAATTCCAGCATTTTGGGAGGCCAAGGCAGGAGGATTACTTGAGCCCAGGAGTTTGAGACTAGCCTGGGCAACATGGTGAAACCCCATCTCTACAAAAAATACAAAATTTAGCTGGGTATGGGGGTGTGCACCTGCAGTCCCAGCTACTCAGGAGCCGAGGCAGGGTGATCACTTGAGCCTGGGAGGCCGAGGCTGCAATGAGCTGTAACTGCGACTCTGCACTCCAGCCTGGGTGACAGAGTGAGACCCCGTTTCTAAAAAAAAAATAGTAAAACGAAAGCGGACTGACGCCACTCCACTCCAGCCTGAGCAAAAGAGTGAGACTCCGTCTTAAAAAAAGGAAAAAAGTGGACAGAGCATAAAGAGAAAGGAAAAAGTACCATGGGCACTTGTAGCAGGCTTTGTATTCTCCGTGCCTGGCACAGTACACAATAGGTCCCAAATTATTGCTTGTTGAAGCCATCAATCTCTTTACGAATGAACCAATAAGAGGCTATAAAGATATAATTCTGATGAGTTCTAGAAAAGTCCATGGGAGAAATGGGACTTTTAGGCTACCACACTAGCTACTGTCAATTCCTGAAATGCACAATACTTCTCTTACTCAAGAGGCTTCATACATGCCACTCCTGCTGAATGACACTCCGTTGTCTCTTTAACATCTACTGAGACCTCAGCCCAAAGGCCGGGACTGCATGGAAAGCTTCTCTGACCACCCCATCCCCATCCCCAGAGCAGGTCCAGGGCCCGGGTGCAAAGACCCAGCCAGACACTAAGGTTCAAGTTCCCACAGATCCCACTGCCCTAACACCCTGCTTCCACTCCCCCAGGGCATTTGCTGATTTACATGATTGTTTGATGTAACTTCTTTCCTCTATCTGAACTCTAGGCTCCATGAGGGTCTGGCGATGTCTGTTTTGTACCACTGTGCCTGTTTTGTAGGCCCTCAATAAACCATCATTAAGTGCATAGATAACATTTGCTGCATTTGATCTTGAAAAACAGAAAGCACCTAAACAAGCAAAGAAGAACAAGAGCAAGCAGGGAAGGTAGAAAGAGTGCAGAGTGCGTTCCCTGGGTCTGTGCACGGTGCACACAGTGTTTCACCAGCTGCCTGACTGGGGCTCAGATGGAGCAGAGCAGACAGTGATGAGGCTGGTGCTTCCTGGTTCCCAGCCGTTAACCCTTGTTTAGTTCCTGGGTTGTGGACAGATGGATGAGTCCCAGGCAAAAGCACACCTGGGTCTGGCAGGTGGCAGTGTTCCTGGGACAGCAGCTATCTACCAACGGTTTAGCGATCTCAAGACTTTATAAGAGGGTACCAGCAGATAAGAGCAATCTCAGAGGCAAAATCTGCACCCCAGGGGGCTATACCCATGTGGCCAGAAAGGAAAATGAGCTAAATTATGAGCAGACTTAAAACTCAGGCATAGGCTTTTGATCTTGAATGCAGCAGGCAACACAGGAAGTTTCTGTAGATCCCTAAGAATGGGGAAAATGATGAAAGGCATATTTTTAGGACTAATTTCAAAGTGGAAGCCAAATACTGTGCTGGGCACCGGATAACTAAAGGTGATATAGAGATTTAGGCTTTTCCAAAACTCAGTTTCCCATTTTATAAAGCTTATGGGAGATTCTGAATGTCCCGAGTTCAAGTTTCCACAGTCACCTGCTAAGAGGATGGTTTTGTTGGTTTCCACTTCTGGTTTCTAAGCTCCCTAAAGGCAACTCCTCACACCTGAATGATGAAGACAGTGTCTAGCCCTTAGTAAAGGTGTGTTAAATAGATAAACGATGAACTGTTCTATTAGAACACAAACATAAAAAGCAGCCCCACAGTCTGTGCTGTAATGCAAATCCTCCCTCCTCGCCAATTATTTCTTTTTCTTTTTTTTTTTTTTAATTTTTAAACAGAGTCTCACTCTATCACCAAGGCTGGAGTGCAGTGGTGCAATCTCAGCTCACTGCAACTGCCAACTCCCAGGTTCAAGCAGTTCTCCTGCCTCAACCTCCCAAGTAGCTGGGACTACAGGCACACACCACCACGCCCAGCTAATTTTTGTATTTTTAGTAGAGACAGGGTTTCGCCATGTGGCCAGGCTGGTCATGAACTCCTAACCTTGAGTGATCCGTCCCCCTTGTCCTCACAAAGTGCTGGGATTACAGGCATGAGCCACCATGCCTGGCTCTCCCTAATGATATATTAAACAAGTTTCCCCAACAAAGACTTGACTTTTATCAATGTTGCCAGGACCAAAGACAGCCTAAGCTTTCCCCTCCCTTGACTGCAATTTAACAGAGCTCCTTCTGGGAGTGAAACCAGCCCCTCTCTGAATTCAACACAGTCCTCCTCGTTGGCAAACACTAACCTGGTAAGTTGTATTTCATGAAGTTAACTAGGCTCATTACAGAGAACATATTTCCAGGAGGAAGGATGTTAATTTCTTCCACATACAAAGAACAAAAATCAATATCGTAAATCCAGGAAATCTCCCCTAAATGTCTTCCCCCTCATCACTCTCTCCTGCACTCTGTGTAAATACCATATGACAGGTTAGCTATATTTCTACTCAGGCAATATGATATTGAGGTGACTGCAAGACAAGTCATGCTGCTGAAGTGAGGAATATTAGCCAAGATGTTACTCCTCAAGGAATTTTGTGACATTGGAGTTCTGTCAAGTGGAGCTGAATGTACCTTCATCTTTTAAACCAGCCCCAGTTCTGATTCACAGCCTGCTTAGAACACGCTGAACTTGAAGAGTGACCTATAGATTTTCATCATGAGTTAGAGGTAGATAAAAAGGAAGCAGTTTTCTAGGGCATGTTTGGATTTCAATATATTCATTGACTGGAATATGTAATAAACACAAACTACGCTTACTGTGTGAATGATACATTAAAAAGAGGGACGCAAGCACCAATTTTACAGGAACTTGACAGTCTAAGTAAGCAAATAGAGTTTAAACCAAGACTTAGTTTTAATTTTAAAACACACACATCAGAGCCTAGTAAATTCCTACACAGAAATGTGAAATCTCCAAGTAATGCTTTTTCTGCCACCTTTTGAGAGGCCCCTTAACCTCATGCAGCCCCAGAGAGGGGAACACAGCTTCATTTTACGAGTAAACAAGAATCTAATTTTAGAAATCCTCCAAGATGTTGACCTTTGTATTGGGATCTGTCAGTCTAAGACCCTGGGTCTTGGATGGGTTATTATAAATTAAAATCTAATACACCTTCCTTCTCTCTGGATCTATAATGCCTCGTTCCATCAGCAACGTCCAGCTTAGGTGTGCAATACAGCCCACGAGGTGGACTGCAAAACCTGGTGACTTCAGCATCCCAAGGGCATAGGCAAAATTAATTAAGACACTGCCACAAATATTAGCCCTCCTTGAATCCTCCCTCCCAAGTTTATTTCTAATTATCTCCCACTGAGTCAGGTCTCCAATGAGTCAAAATTTTTATTAGATTCTAGAAGCCTATCTCCTGACAGCTTCAAAGGATTTTTATATTTTAGCATAGTTGATCCCCTCTAATATGCTTCCATCTCTTAACTAATCTCTGCCTTGAATCATATTATAAAACCGTAGAGTAGAAAGAGTCATTTAAGGTCACCAAGCCCAATTCCATCTGATTATAGACAAGGAAACTGAGGCCTAAGGAAGTTTAGTGTCTTCAAGAATATGAATTAATTAACAAGGCAAAAACTTGATGCTACAGAGATCCACTGTGAGGTAGTTTCAAGACCAGATTGGAAATGGTCTAGAGTAAAGGCCAACATGCTTTGACATGTTGGAGTATTTCATCAGAAGGTCAGCCTATGCCCCAATCATCCTACGTAAGACCCTCCTGTCAACCCACCCAATCCAAACATTCAGAGCCTCTAGCCGACATTTGGGTGCCTGCTTCATGAATGAGGACAGGTCTATGTCTCTAGGTTCCTTTTGTTTTGCTTTGTTTTCAGTATGCTTTCCTTTTTCTTAGGACAGGAAAACATACTAAAAACGAAGCAAAACAAAAGGGAGCTAGAGACA